CGCAATCGAGCTCCAAGCTGCCCCTCACCTCTTTGCACTTTGTCGCCTCGTACATTCCCACACTCGACGCCCACAAGGATTACATTACCGACGCGATGGAATCGACGGTTGTGCTGGGCTTGAGAGATTTGAACCCTGCACTGCTCAGCATATCCCTCACCACTGCTTTCAACCTGGGAAGCCTGAGATTTCTGGTCAGGGATCTGATGGGCGATCTGAGAGAGGTCATCAAGAGTCGAGTCAAGGCTGCTCTTGATCCTCAAGCGCTTGCAAAGGAGACGGGAGTGCGTGGTGAGTAGCGCGGGCAAGTGCGGCTTTGCGTAGGAGTGAGCGCACCTGACGCACTGACACCTTTGTTTTGCGCATTCCATCGCAGAACCCTCGACATCGCAATACGCATCCTACAAATCTCGCCACTCGTCCCGTCCTGGCGCATCTAGCGCAACAATGGACGGTGCTCTGACGCCGCAGCAACACGCGTGGAGCACGACATTCTGGCAAAAATTGAACGTGCTGCTCATCAGCGAGATGAGCGCGGTCTGTTGCAAGGTGTATGCGCTCGAAGGCGTTCTCAGGCTCAAGAGGGATGAGGATAGCGGCAGAGGGTACTTGGAGGAAACCTTGGAGGTGCGTCGCTTGTGTGAGAGATGGCCGCAAATTTGTGATGAGCCGCGTGGGCTCTGACTTTGTTGCCGCGCTTGGCGCTCTGTTGCAGACGCTCGGAGATAGGCCCAGCTTCATGTTCTGGACGACTTTCGCCCAGTCATTTGAAATGCAGAGTCAAGAAGCTCTCAAGGGTGAGCAGGTTGACTCGACCTATGATGCCTACTCGAGATGGCAGCTCACCTTCGAGGGGTCTTTCTTTGCCTAGCATCGCCTTTTCTTGCCGAACAGCTGGTCGCTTCTTACCCTCGACTGGTGCGCCTCTTTCAAGATTTCTTCCAGCGCGTGTCCAACGTGACCGAACTCAATTATACCGATGATCATCAGAGGTGAGAAGCTGCGCGAGGATCTATGAGACGGCAGCGCACCTGATGTCCTGATGTCGAAAGTGCAACTTCCTTTCTCTCTCCGCGCAGTCCCGAGACTGTCGTGGTCCTTCGGAGCGCATCGCATCTCGAAACATCTTACGTGCAGCGCGTGCATGCGCGTCTGTCCGACTCTGTCGCCGCTCTAGCTGCGGGCAAAAGCCGCGCAGCGGGCTCGAGCAGGACTGCAAACGCCGCGCTGGCGGATGGAGAAAGGTTGGCGAGGACTATCAGCAACGAGCTGGACGGCGCTCGCTTTGATCCGCTCCTTCTCAGGGCAGTCGCTGCTGCCGTGGAAAAGTGCACGCTGGACGCGCTGGAAAAGCTCGAGAAGATTGTGAGTTTTGAGACCTAGTAGACGTGTAGTAAGCGACTCATCATGTCAACGTCTGGGAATCCTTGTGCAGGTTGCTAAAGATGCTTCGGCGTACACGCTCGCGGCCATCGAGACGACACCTAGCCAATTTGGGAATGCGGACCTTGCTAATGGGCTTACGGGCCTGGCTAGGGGCTTGCATGCCGTGAACGCTGAAAGTCCATCTGCAGTGCGCGGTCTTATTGGCCGGCTCGAACAGGTGCGCCGTGTGACGTGCGACTTGATGACCAAGCAGCGAAAGTGTAGCGCACCGACTGACGGCTTGCTCGCCCTTCGCATCGACTACGCAGCGCGCGTCCCGACTGCTTCAGGACGAACTTTTAGATCCTCTGCTGCAATCCACGAAGAAGGAATTGACAGTGACGTTTGCGAGGATGCACAATGTCGACTTTGCCAAAGGAGGTGCAGCGTCTTCCGATGGTTCGGGTGCTGCGGCGGGCGTAGCAACGGGTGCGGGAAGCGTCTATATGGCAGAAGTGAGCGATCGACTTTGGTACGTGCGCGAGATGCTCGCGCTCAAGTACGAAGACGAGACGAGGAGTCGAATGTGAGTATGCGCGCGCACTGTGATTCCGGTTCGAGGCACCTCTTCCCCTTTCTGCAGCAGCAAGCTAATGAGACGAGCATCTCTCCGTCTTGGTGCGCTCGCAGAACGCTGGAGCTGGCTATTCATGCGCTGGATACGTTTGTGCTGCATGCTAGCCTCGTTCGACCTCTTGGCGAGTCTGGGGCGCTAAAGTTGTCCAGCGACACGACCGAGCTGGAGTTTGCTACTTCGCAAATGTTGCAAGCATCACCACGGCGTGTTTCCTCTGCACGCATGAGCGCAGGAGTGTCACAGTCTGCGCAGCAGCAGACGCTGACGCTGGCGGATTGCGGCGCACCTTTTCAAGCGCTAAGATCATTCAGACCTTTACTGTTCAAGGATTTGGATGGGCTGGCGGACAAGGATCTTTTACCTTCCAGCAGCGGTCTCTCTCCGCTCGTAGTAGCGCATC